TCGGTCCCTGCCCTCCACAGTCCAGTCTCCACCCAGCAGCTGGAGACCGTTAATAACAAAAACCTGATCAATTAAAAAATCAAAGCCCGTTGAGGGAGTCACGCTACCCTTGGGCTCAAGTCTCGGATCCCTCTGTTGGGGGCAAGGCTCTGCGAACCAGCATGACCCCACAGGCAGACCCTGCTGCGCCTTGGGCCTCCTCTCCCCGCTGCTGTCTGGTACGCCGCCTCTGTGCTTCCCTTTCCCTTTGGCTGCGAGGAAGCCCAGGCCGCAGGGAAAGGTCAGACAGGAGAGAATTATCTCTTTGCATTAATGATGTTTAACTGTTGGGAGAGCACAGGTTTAAGACTCCGGTGGAAAGCTATAGCCAATCTCAGTTCCAAATTCTTACACAATGTCAAGGGGTACACCCATCTCCTGAAATTTACTAACAGGGTTTCCATGAAATATTGGGGCATATCTTGACTAGAATCTGTTGTTTATCTGAAATTCAAATGTCACTGGTGTCCTGTAGTTCATTGGGCAACCCTATTAATAAACCTCCTTCGGGATGATGGACCCCAGAAAAAGATCCTCTTTAAATCATTTCTTTCGTCTGCTTCATTGGGCCTGTGTAAATGTGTTTATACTATAAGCAACCAAAGTAGATCATATGCAAATTAAAAAGGCAGTTAGTGAACAAATACTGCTGACAACTGAATTATACCAAATTATATCCACGACTTAGAGATCATGATACTTAGCTAGAAAACACATTCGTTGTCCTGTTCTGTTTTCAACTTTGGAATGTAAGTCTATTTTGGTTAGTTTAACATAATTGTGTATTTCTTTCCCCATCCTCCTCCTCCAAGCATTCTAGTTACTTAAAGACCCAGTATCAGCGACCTCTCCCCCATTTCTGTCAGCTGTGCTGTTGTGCTCAGGCCCTTGCTTCTGGAAAGCTGTTTCTTTTCCCTGTGATTGGTTTGTCAGCTCTGCACTCAGACGCCTAGAGGGACATGGTAGCCTAGCGGTAGCTGTCTTTGATATTTTATTTTTAACCTTTTTCACTGCCCCTCTTCCCAAAGCCAGCCTGTTCAAATGGGGTCACCATTCTTCAGACTCATAGGCTGAATTCAGACTCAGCTTCACAGACTGAATTTCTCCCTTTCTTTGGCTTTTTATGTGATGGGTACTTTCAGGGAGAGGCGAGGAAGCTCTAGGCTTCTCCCTGGGGCTTGCTGAATGGTAGGATTCTGTCTCACAGTGTGCTCTCAAGACAGTTTGAGAATTGGAACTTCTTACCCGAGTGTCCTGCAGGGTTTGCTTTGTCAGCTTTTGCTTCTCTCTTGCCTTGAGGCCGAACGTCTCCTGTCTTCCAAGTAAATGAACTTGCCTTCTCAGTCTTCCCAGAAAGACATCCACCTCATCTTGTTCTACAGACCATTGTCAGGGCGCCTGTGGGTTTTTAATGAACTAACATTAGAGTCATCTTTAAGGGTCTTTGGCTACAGACAGAACAAATCACCTACAGTTTTCCCAGCAGTCAGACGTGGGACGTGACAGCAGGAGGGAGAGAGCAGGAGGCTTAAGAGTTCACAGCTCGCAACCTGGAAGTGAGGGCCCTAAACGCAGGGGAGGGTCCTAGGGCTGGCCTGGAGCACCCCCCCCCCCCCGTAGCGCGAGGGAACTATTTACGGCTCTCCTTGGAGACAAACGGAAAGGGAAATGTTCCTTTTGGGAAACCTGGTCATTGGGTTGGTCCACCTGGTTCTTTGATACCCACTCTCCTCCCTCTTCAAAATGCACCTATGCCCCAAATGTTTCCACAGTGTCAACGGGTTCATGGACTTTTCTGAAATGTGTTAATAAATAGGGCTGTCATGCAAGCTAGGCACATACCTAGACTTACAATATTATTCAGATGAACTTGGCCTCTCCATGCTTTCCTGACTACCCCTCAGCAGCAAGGCAGTCTTTACGGACCCTGGTATTGCTCATTCTCCAGGACTGCACACTTCATAATGTGCACACAGGCAGATACCGTGGGGCTCAGCCCCGGAATTGCTAACTCTTGCCAACATTGCTGAGAAGTGATGAAAAAACGGAGACTCAGTGATATAAAGTGGTATTCCAAAATAAATAGTAAGTGATGGAGTGCAGATGGAGTGCAGACTGGAATCTAGACAGCCCCCCACCACCAAGCTCCATCCATTCTCTTTCTCTCACCACCCACCTTGCTGCCAAGAGCTCCCGTCCCCAGCTGACACCCCCACCCTCTCCCAGCTCCCCTTGCATCTTCTGAACGGCCTCTTTGGCCTCTTCCCCTGGTCTGCTGGCCTCCCCGGTTCCACCGTGAGGCCTTCTGTGCCCTGCAAGACTTCCATGCCAGCCCCGTCAGGGCCACCCTGTCCAGCACCTGCCTCCCTCGCCAGCCACATTGCAGCCAGGCCACAGGAACCCAGATGGACTGAACCTTCACCACCTGATTGATTCTGCCTGGGCTGCCTGCCCGCTTTTCTCCACCACCTGACCATCGGCCTAAGTCACAGGACCTGGGGCAGGCGCAGTGTTTCCCAAGTATCATTTATTCCCATTTCGTCCTGATTTTTCCCAACTTTGTGCACCACTTCTTACTTATCCAGCTCACTCTTACAACTTCAGCTCATCGATCTTAAACTTTGTATCTTAGCCTCAATGAGAAATGAGTATTACTTCTAATTAGAAGTTAAGCATAAAAAGAAGTAGAAACACAGCGCTGATAACTTGCAGCTCTGCATCGCTGCTCGGCCGTAGCCGTCAGGACTGAGGTTCATGCTCTTCTTTGTTAAAAGAGAGAGGCTGCTCGTCTCTAGAGAGGTGTCTTACTCTGGCACCAAACCAAGACCCTCCATTTCCCTATTGAAAAGGATTAAAGGAGAACTACCTACAGAGGGAGTCCATGCAGATCAGCTAAAATGATCTTAAACAGGCCAGTGATGCCCATCTCTGGAAAACAGCAGTGGAAGTCAGAATGCAAACCCTGACCAAGCAAACTCCAGACCTGCCCCAGCCCTTACCCCAGGGCTCCCCAGGCCTCTCACCTGGCCCGTGGAGAACATAAGCACATGGGGGAGCCCGGAGTGAGCTCCCCTGGGGGTGAGAGGCTGCTCTCTGGTGCCTGGATGAAGGGCTGCAGGCGCGACACCCCACTGCCTCCCACAGGCATGCTCGGTCTCCGGGCTGATCTCATCTGTTCGTTTGCCATTCATCCACCTGAAGTGCACAGCAGAAGGGGCAGCTGCTGCCCAGAGCTGCCCTATCCAGGAAAAGGAACTGAAGTAGGCCGAGAGCGGCTCTCTGCTGCACGTTCTGTGTGAAGAGACCTAGCCGCCCCTCTGTAGGTAGTGAGGCCCGTTCTACGGCTTCCTCACGTATAAACCCAGTTAAATCCTCAGCACGGCAAGACTGCCATGGGGCCACAGAGATGCACGTTCCCAAACTGGACAGTGTTTCCTCCACCTCTTGAAGCCATCACGCACCAATATTTCGCTTAGCTGTATAGAAGGATTCTCCTGATCTTTCCATCTTGTGGGGTATTTTGGCCTCTCTCTGAATCTTTAGCTGAGCAGAAAATGACTCTGAATTGCGGTTGCTTCAACAACAGTAAAACTCAGACGACGCCTTCACCACGCACAGGAAACGGCACCAGCCCAAAGGCTGCTGAATGAAGCTGAGGCTCACTCTTGACATGAAAGGACCCTGAGGAGCTCAGCGATCCTTCGGTTCCAGGAATTCACCATCTGCCTTCCATGGCTCTTTTCGTCTCTGTTCTAAACCACCTTAGATGACAGAGGAGCTGCATTTCTTATCTCACCTTGCACCCTTCTTGGAACCTAGTGGTCTTTATTTAGATGTTTAACACTTGGGTATGTAGAGGCGGCCAACCCAAGTTTATCATCATCTCCCACTCCCACCCCATGTTGGAATGGAGTGGGCTGTGTTGTTTATAAACTGGGCAAGCATTGCCCCTAACTTGGAGAGAAAGCCAGAGCGGAGCAGGTCTCCACACCCTGCTGTGTCAGCAGGTTCATCTGTAATTCATCACATGCTCCTCCGTGCCTGCCATTATCTTATAGATAATTGGTTGCCTCTCATTTACTCATAACAGAGCTGTGCAATTTGAGCCACTGAGTCAGCCCAAAACAGCATTATTAGTAGTTCCAGATATACTCCCAAGGCAAAATTTTGACACTGGCATTTTTGAAAAATCACCATAATTTCAGCCACTGGACCACACATACCACTACCACGGGTAGTCGAGGTTTACGGGTTTACTTATTGAGCGCACATTTGGGTCACAGAATTGTACCTTTTGAAACCTGCCCCACCAGCCTGGAAAAAGCTCACCCTTCTCAGAGAAGGTCTACTCTCAGCACAGCAGCCTCTGATGAGAAAGGCTCAAGTTGCAGATCTTAGGACTCATGTTTTCTTGGGGGAGACAAGGGTTACCTTCAGCTCCTTGGCCAGCTCAGTCCTAAACCCACCAGGTCATCCGCATGTGAGGGTGTCATCCACACCGCTGAAAGGGTTTGCCAGCGCTCCTGCAACCCACCCCCACGCTGATACAATAAAAGGTTGTCCTCAGCACAGGAGGGGCCCCGCCCTTGTTTACGGCTAGAGATACTTCAGTATGTTCCAGAGCGCTTTGCCACATGAAGGGCCCATCATCTTAAATAAAGCAAGAAAAGATATTTTAGTTTGCTTTTCTTCCCTCTCCAGTCCATATTCCTACCGGATTATGCTTCGTCTCCCCTCGTTCTGTGCAGACTATGTTTCTAGAACCATATTTCAGTAGGAAGGAATTAAAAGCTCAATGAGTGGCATTAGAGAAATATAAATCAGGTCCCCAGGGCCTACAGTGGGGACGGAGGACCACACACTCAGAGAGACTTTAGAAGTAGTCAAATCTAGTGTCCCATTAAATCATTCATCATAACCCCAAGACTAACCATTCAGCTAGGCTTTGAAAACCTCCCTTTATAAACATTGAGTAAGTCCACCCCATGACTCCAAAGTGACTTTTTCTTTTCTAAATGTTTCACCAAGGTCCAGCTTTCTCTCACATGCACCCAGTAGTTCAGGCAGAAGAGTCCACAGGCCACTCATGGCCAAGCAAGCTCCAGGGCTGCTCCACTGAGCTGTGGCTCCACTGGTCGCAGACGTGACCAGTGTCCCGGAGGTAACTTGAACCCTCCTGAACCTCAGAAATCTGTAACCCGTCAGCACAGAGTCTTTTGCAGAAGAGTGCAGTCCAAATGCCAGGAGTAACTTTTTAAAGTTTTCAGTTTTACCTGCATCCTGCAAAATCATGAAGCCTAGCACGACCATCGTCTTCATCCTCACCTCCACCCTTCTGGGGCAAAAGCCTAGACATTTCTACCCACTCCGAAGACTCTTCCTCTTTCCCTCCTTGCTTCTCCCCACCCTGTGTGGTCCTCTTCTACTTTTCTCATTCTGTCTTTGTCTCTGCCAGAAAGGAAGGCGGGGAATAGTCTCCTAGAGGTCATGGGAGGTGAAGATGAAGAAGGGCTATGAAAATTCACATTAATAATCTTTGACTCATCACTTAATAGCTAATATTTATGCAGTTCACTCCACCCTATGCCTAAAATGTCCCTCAGCCATGTCCTACATAGTACGTGCTCCATTATTTTGAGATTCCAGGGACATACGTCATGTGGGCACTCAACCAATCAATCCAGGCTGCGCTAGCAACAGCAGCTCTCAGTTGTGCTCCTTCTGGTTCTGATGATCCAAAAGACACTGCAGGGTGTTCTACAGCCTCTAACTGGTGATGAATGGTAGGAGCAGTGGAGTCTGTGTCTTTTTAATTAAAGTCAAGTCCAGAAAAATGGAGGGAAGAGAGGGTAGTGGGAGAGGACATTTAGACAATTACAATGTCCCACGGGGACTGCTTGTCTCAGGGGTGTTAGCAAAATGAGAGCCCAGCCCAGTTTGATGCCATGTGCCCGCTCTTCTTCCTCTTTTCCCCTCCTGTCTCCTCTCTTCTTCCTCTTTTCCCCTCCTGTCTCCTTCAAGTAATGCCGCACGTGTCCTCGGGTGAGGGCAGCGGCCGTACAAAGACAGGCACGGAGAGCGCTGGGGAAGCCCTCCTGGGGCCCTGCCTTTACCCTCCTGTACCTGCCACTCCCTCCGTGTCCCCCAGAGCCCAGCGCATGGAGCTATTTCAGTTCACTATGGCCACTTTGCAACCCTATCATAGGGCAAGCCTTGCGCCCCTACTGCAGCCCCACGTAAATGACCTGGAGTCAGGAGAAGAAAGTCAGACGGCGGGTAACACTTCCTCTAACGCAACTGCTTGTCGTGAGCTTTACACTGACTCTCCCAAACGTGCTTTGAAAAGAAAGGGCCTGTAAGTGAAACATGACAGTTCTGCGAATACTATGGCCCAGCCC